AAGGCCCACGGGGAACCAACGCGATGCAGGACAGCTGTGAGGAGGAAGGCGGGAGGCAGACCCAGAATGTGCACGGGCCCTGCAGTACATGAGAATGTGGTGCGTTCCAGAGACCGCACCCGGAGCCTGGAGAGCGTGCAGGGCCTGGGCCGGTGGGCCCTTGAAATTCACAGCCAAGCCATGAAAAAGGTGCAGAGCAGGCGAGAGGAGTAAAACCCGTTTGGAGGCGCCAGCAGGCCACTTGAAGAGAGCCGACAGTGGCTGGGCCTGTGGAAGGAAGTTGGGGGTGAGGGTGGTAATGCACCAGGGTAGCCCCACGGCAGCGAGCTTCACACGCAGCTAGCTCATGGGTGCTAAGAAGAGTACCAAGTCCTGAGGGGGTGAGGTGGGTGCAGAAGGCATGCTCCATCAGGGTGGTCTGAGCTATATTTACGAAGTCCACATGCAAGCGGACAGAGCCTATCAGACAGCCCAGCCTGGAGCGCCATGGCATGCGGGTGGGAGTCATGGTCTTCTAGGAGCCCCCTTGACCAGAGCACCAAGGGGGATGGGCGGGGGAAGGTGTGTGTGTGTGTGGGGGGCAGGGCCAGCATGGACCTAGCCTAGCACAGCACACGAGGGCTTTATAGGAGAATGAGCCCAAGGAGGAGTGGCCAGAGAGGCGCGTGTGGGCAGAGGCCAGAAGCTATCAAGTTTAAGGCGGGGAGAGTCCACTGAGCCAGGTTCCAGTAGAGGTAGGAGGACCCAAACACATGGACCCTGAACAAGTATCCCAACCCTGGCTCCCAGTAGGATCACCCAAGAACAAATCCACCTTGGAAGATGTGTCAGTCTGGGTACTTCAGATAACAAATCCACAGAAACTCATATGTATAAAGGTTAAGTGCACATCAAGAAAACATCCCTACCCAGTGATGCCCAAGCCCACAAGTCCAACATTAACCCATATGTTCAACACCAATCCACAAACTCCTCCTCCACCTCACAAAATAGACGCAATGACA